CACTGGCGGTGCACATTATTTTGTTTCCCTCTTCTGTGGGCAGCAGCAGGTGGGCAGCTGGACTCACCTGTCAAACAAAGTCCTGCTGGAGAACACCTGCAGATGTTTGCAGTGAGAAACTGTTTTTACTGAATCTCCATCCTGAGCAGCTCGACTGAGTCCGGTTCTTCTTCTGTTCCAGTCCCACAGCAGAGTAAGAGACTGAGCACGCCCGCCATCGCCCTGCGCTCCAAATCAATGACGTCAGAGCTGGAAGAGATGGGTAAGAAGCCTTTAAATAAACTTTTTTTTTTCWTTTTTTGGAGGATGAAACCAGAAGGATTAAAAAAAAAAAGCATATTGTTAATGATTTGTAGACAAAGGAGGCTGCAGACTCAGGAACTGAGGAATGATAGCGGCAGTGAAAGCAGCATTAAAGATTGTGAAAATGTGCTAAATTTAGACGTCAGGAGCAGAGAGGAGAGAGGATATTTAGTGACAGGATGGTGGTCTCAATGCGTTTCACTGTTCTTTCAGAGGTTCCACTTTGTCACTTCCAGCACCCACACTACAGGTAACCCCACCTGGACGACGTGTCGCCGTCCACCTGTCTGATCCTCCTCTCACTGCCCACCTCTCCCTCCTCCTCCTCCTCCTCCTCGGTCCACCCAAAGCTTTAACTTCCACCTGTAAAAGCCTCGTCACACCGTGGGGTTTTTTTTCCGAATTTTTCGCATCTTTTTCTTTGAGCTTCTCTTCGTTTCGTGTTGAATATTTAAGTCCTTCGCAGGAAAGTTCCAGCACTGATGAAATTATTGAGATGAGTAATTTAACTTAGTTCCTGGTTTGTTCCTATGGCAACGGCATTATGTGTGGCCATGCCGTCTCTATTTGAGGTAAAACAGTAGGAGGAGGGTCAACGCCCCCACTTGTAGATCACATTGTTGGCCGGCGTTTTAATTGTGACTGGGTTTTATTTATTTATTTTCGTCCTCCCAAACGTTTCCGGTGTTTTCTGCTGGCGGTTCTGAGCRCGGTCAGGTGCGCGTCACCCGCCGCCGTTCCTGCCGAAGTTTTAGACGACCTCGAGCTGAGGAGAAACGCTTGAAGGCGTTTTGGTCAAACCTTATGAGACGTGATTTAGAGGATGTGTTGAGACTTCAGMTCAATATCTGTAAATGTGGCTGATAAAAGGGATCCACGGTTACTAGTACAATTAGAGATTATTTTACAAACATTTATCTGTAAAATAAAGACTGTAAATTACTGTAGGCTGTTTAGTTTTTATAAATTAAAAATATATATATTGTCACGGATTGCGCGATTTTATTAAGGCCGCAAAGCGTACCAAGAAAATGAGGATGTAGACTAGATTTTCCGGTGCGAGGCTGCTAGCGAGCTATATCCACCCTGAAGGTTAATTTTGGACAATATCTGATGATCGACTCTTTTAAATGAAACCAGAGAGCGTTGACAGAGAGGAGAAGGTAGAAATGACTGGATGGAGGACAACAGAGCTGTTTTATGGAATGGAGAATCTCAGTTTAGCCTGTTAGCTTTCGCGCTAGCGCCAATCTAATATGGCGGTATAATGTTAGCTTCGAACTAATGCATATAGTGATATAGAATTAGCAATATATAAAACGAACATCACATGTTTATTAGAAATTTACATATGTTACTTCCTGAGCTAACAACATTGGCTCGGTTGCTAACGCCATATGTATTAGCTTGGCGCTAACGCTAAAGCTAACAGGCTAAGCTGAGGTTCTTCTTCCATGAAGCAGCTCTGTTGTCCTCCATCCATATTTTCAGTTCYAGGCTGAGTCATTTCTACCTTCTCCTCTCTGTCAACGCTCTCTGGTTTCATTTAAAAGAGTCGATCMTCAGATATTGTCCAAGATTAACCTTCAGGGTGGATATAGCTCGCTAGCAGCCTCGCACTGGAAAATCTAGTCTACGCCATCATTTACCCGGTTTGCTTTGCGGCGTAAATAAAATGGCTCCATCTGTTTGACAATTAAAAAAAAACAATTTTTTTACAAACGCTAATGAGCCCACGAGGGGACACGGGGGATTTTTTTTTTCTTTTACCTTTCCCTCGCAAAAGCCGTTTATTACTGTTGTGCTGCCGGTTTATTAACAAATTCACCTGCTCACCATAAAACGGGAGTTAGCCTATTATTTTAGCCTATACTTTGGATTAAATGTATCACAGACACATGCATGAAGACATTTAATATGCAGCTATTTTAACTCTGTGCAGCCACAAAATATAACCGTCAATTTCCCCAAACTTGTGGCGACACATCCTGTTTTTTTTTTTTTTTTTTCAAAATAAAAGTCTGATTTAATTCAAGTCATACCAAACAAACTTTTGCGTGGGAAAGCAAAACAACATTGCGAAGAATGCAAACGTTTGCGAGGTAACGCAAAAAGTATTGCGTGGCAACGCAAACTAAAAAATCGTTACAGTCTTTACAGTTACAATAAACGTTTATCAAATAATGTCTAATGGATGTCTTTAAAATCACCGCAAATCTAAGCAAATGTAGACGTTTCAGTAAAATCCATCCACTGATTTATGAGATATTTTGCTAATTCTACAGACAAATAAAACACAAAAACATGACAGGGAGCTACAGAAGAAGAACTAGCAGGCATTTCTCTTTGTTAATTTATTTTTGAGGTCTGCCTTTTGCCTCATTTTACCCACAATCCTCCCCTCCTCTGACCTGCCTTCTTCCTGTGGTGTGACCTCACCTGATTAGCATGATCACCCATTCTGACACATGAAAGAGGGCTTCCCCAAACCCCATGTTCACCTCCTGATATAGTCACTGTGAACTCACTAAACTTTACAACAACAGGTACACACACCTGGACAAACCCTCGTTACGTCTACAATCCATCGAAATCCATCCAACGGCTCTAATCTCTGAAGAAAAACTTGATTAATTTGAGGAGAACACTACTGTAATCCTGTTGCTGATTGGAAATTCTGAGGACTAATTACCTCATCAGATTGATGCGGAGGAATAAAATTAATTAAGCTGTGATCAGTATCAGTATCAGCGCTAAAYCATTTATTAGTTTGTGGCAGATTTATTTGTATGAATCTGTAAATGTCTTTTTGTTTTAAAAATTTTACTTCCTAGCAACCAAAAACGTCTCGTARTCCTTTCTGAAAACCAGTTTTTGAGTCTTTCTGGAGAACTTTCAGAGCGTTTCTTCTTTGTTAACTCWGATCCGTGGAGAACTCGTCAGAGCCATCTGAAGGACGACACCACTCTCAGGTCTTTGCTGATTTGTGTCACTTCTTTAAGACTTGGCTTTCGTTTAATAATTTCCTGGAAAGAGCTGTTTAGTCTCGGCTTGTCTTTAAAAGCACAATCTGCTATCGTGGAAAGATACGAGGACTGGACGGGAATCGGGTGAAAAAGCAGCTAAAGTCCAAAGGAAAATAAAAATAAAAGACCTTCAGAAAGATTAAAAGAAATCGCAGCTGCTTGGAATCAAAATATAATTTAATAAAAAAATGCCAAACTAGTTATAATCACCTATTTGGGTTAGGCACAGCATGCAGTAAATATACTTCATTTTGTTTCATTTGTGGGACAACTTTCGACTCGCGTCACTTATGTCTCCCTCAGAGTCAAGGTGAAAGGAGCGCACTGTGGGATGAAGCCGCTGCCATCTGCTTATTCTAATAGTTTCAACTTCATTTAGCCGTGATGCCTGTTAACCTTTGTGTTTAGCTTTGTGACCGGTGCAGTGTCCCAGTTCCACCGTAAGTCAAAAGCATTTAAATAAAAAAGGACCTGCAGATAGAAACTAAACTATTACGTATTTCCTGCAGTTGTTGGTTAAGTGTCTCGACTTCAATAAACACAAATTCCACAGCCCATATAGTTGGTTTAGTTTTGTTAAAATGTATAAATTAAATAAAGTTTTTTTTATTAAAGTTTTGCATCTTTCCACACAAACACTCCCACCAGTGGATGCCAGGGTCTCCTCCTGAAATTCCTCGTCTTCACTCGTCCTCTCTGTTCGTCAGGTTAACAACCACTAACTCTGCCTCACTTTTGTCCCTTTTGTCCCTTTTGTCCTCACCGCTCCGCTGACGGGATCTTAAATATCTCAACAGTGGAGAGAGGTGAGTGTCTGCCTCAGGTTAAAAACTCATTAACAGACGCAGATTAATTCGATGATACCCTTTCACAATAATCAGAGAACACAGCTGAAGTAGCTGGAGCCAAAAAAAACCCAGTTTTTTTTCTCGTCGGTCCCAGAAACTTGGGGAMTCATCGAAACCCATTTTTTATGAGTGCCTGTCGGGCTCGTTCATGTTTTTCTTCCACATCCTGGGTCTTTCATGGAATCCATTATGATTCAAACTGTTGGTGGGATCAGAAAGTGGTGAATTTCAGCTTTAATGGTTTTTTTTTCTACCATCCGTATTATGAGTCTGATCAACCTGGGGTCGCATTTCCTCTTGCGGCCACAGGTTTATCAGATTCTTATGTGTTTTAAGATGTGTTTTGGGTCATTATCCTGTTGGACGACTCATGACCTGCAAATGAAACCTTTCTAACACTCTGCAGCACGTTTCATTCTATAATTATAACTTAAAAGTTTAAAACAACTGCACAACATACAGACGTCATGAAATTTGGTTGTACTTTTTCGATACAGAAAGAAAACAATCCAAAAATTAGCAAAAAAAGAAACCTTAAAACTGACCAAAGTAATAACAATAAAAACGGAGGCTTCTTTCCTGTAGGGTGTCTCAAATCTGAGCAGGGTGCAGGTAAATCTCAAGACTATCAAGGCATTCTGAACTTAGCACAGAAAGCAAGGAAATGTTTGTTAGATTTTTTTTGTTGCAACAATGCTCCTTAGCAATAAATCTTATACCAGGCACCTGATTGGCAGCTCCTGGGTGTACCAGAAGCTCAAAACAAGAGTCAACAGCAACAATAAAGTAAACAGTTTGACAAARATGTGGCAGATCTTTCATGTGTGTAACCCACACACTCAGCTCTACTGCTCATCCCACAAATGCATGTTCCTTACAAATGTGGCACCGTTTAAAAAAGGGAAATTAACAGACTTTCCAACGGTATAAGATTTGTTGCCAAGAAGTATTGTTACAAAAAGAAATAATCCATCAAACACTAATTACCTTGTTTTTTTTGGGCTAAGTTTAAAATGCCTTGATAGTCTTGAGATTTATCCGTACCCTGCTCAGGTTGAGAAAGAGGTCTCTGCAGTCACAAAGTAGGAGTTTGTAGTGTCCAAGAGTKGGGGGCCTAKTCTCAGGAAAGCACAGATGTGATGTCTCTTGGTTTTTCCAGCTTCACAGCTCGGCACATATTACCATGTTAGGAAGAAGGTATACCGTGATAAAATTTATGGTACATCTGTTGGACTACACTATAAAGAGCCTTGTTCGCCCCTGCTCTTGGCCTTCGTTCTTCACCTTCTTACTTGGTGAATCATTTGGTTTGAAGGCCACAATTCGGTTTTTGGCTGTAATCTCCTGGACTGCAAAATAGAGATTCTTGCTGTTCAACCAGCCTGTTTCAGAGTTCTCTCTTCATTGAGCARCAGCAGTTCCACTTGAACCAGAAGACKTGGTTATTTTCACCTCAAATTTCTTATTTTGTGGGAGGAGTTGACCCAAGCCGYGATTGGTCGGATTGACGGTGGGGTTTGAAGAAGMTGGGGGGCAGCGRAGAGTTGGTCGAGTCCGGCAGGAAGCAACATGTTTTTAAGATTAATTTTAGTCATAACTTGAGAAAGGAAGGTGCTAGCTGCACGAAATTTGAACGCCGTACATGTGGAGGGATGTGTAACAATTTGGTTCAGTCAAAACAGCCCTAACCAGCCTGTGTAAAAATCACAAAAAAATCGATATGAATATGATTGTTAGTCATGATTTTAGACAGGAAGAAGCTTGCCGCATGAAATTTTAAGTCCAAATATGTTTACATGTTCACAATAATTTTTATTTGAGTCATTGTTTTGTTTTAAACTGTACATAGTCAATAAATTTTTCTTTTTTTTTCTTTTTTTGCTATTATTACTTCCTCTTAAGTTGCCCCACATGAGAAGTCAATCCGACCAATCACGGTTAGGGATAACTCCACCCACAGGACAACATGTACTGCAGAGACCCCTACTTCAGAGGTTCACAAACTGGGGTCCCAGGACCCCCAGGGGTCCGCGAGCTGTGTCTTGGGGGTCCTCAAAAATTTAAATAAATTGTTAATTTGGTTTTTATTTTAAAAAAATGCAAATGGAGAACAATACACTAGTCAAACAAACATTCTAAACCAAACAAAAAATAATTTTCCCGTGGTATTTAGGGGTTAAAATGACTGTAAATAATTTTTAAAACAGCCTGGGGTTTATGAGGGGGTCCCTGGTAATTTTTCATCCCCAGAAGTCTGAGAACCCTCAGATTTGAGACACCCTGCAGCAAAGAAACCTCAATTTTTATTGTTGTTGTTGTCACTTTTGTCGGTCCCGAGTATTTATTTATTTATTTTTCATGAATTTTTGAGGTTTTTCTTTCTTTATCAAAAAAGTACAACCAAATTTAATCCCATCTGCTTGTCACAATAAATAAAACCCCGTTTCAGTGAGCTGTAAGGGTCCCAACAGATTTATCTGCGTCTGCACGTGCTTGACAGAGTAACAGTAAGCAGCATGTGCGTGTCTTCTAGCATCTTTACTGTAACATGAGTGTGCATCCCTCAGCTGTGTGGTGAGTGGGCGTGAATGTGCATTTTTATTTTATTTTTTTACTGAGGTGACTCAGTTTGTCAGGCTCTGGGGAATATGATTAGTATTCATTGTAACAAGCCCGTCACACTTTCACTCCTGCCAAAACTTAAGTCTCCTTTTGTCCTCYCTCCAGCTGCTACCCCTTGGAAAAAAAAATCAGGTATGCTCCGGTGCACTCCTGCTGMAGGCGTCATGCTTATATCTGTCCAAAGTGACCCGGCTCTGACCGCTCAGCCTCTCAACTTCCCTCTCTCTTTCAGAATTCGAATCCTCACAAGCTGCGGAGAAGAAGAGGACGGTTTATCAGATGGCTTTGAGTAAGGATGCTCATGTTTGTCTCTGCCTCTTTTTCTCTTCTACCCTCATCAAGTGTGTCGCTTTCCACTTGATTCTCCTCGTTTTTATTCCTGTCTTTGTTCCTGTTTCATCGTCCCGTGTCCCTTCCTCTCTTCCTCTCTTCCTGTCCCCCGTTTTTGTCTCTTTATTCCCGTTTCTTTCTCTCAGATAAACTAGATGAAATTCTTGCAGCAGCTCAGCAGACAATCAGCACCAACGAGGCGTCGGGGACACGGGGACAGGGGCCGAAGAGAGACAGGGGGAGGAGCTTTTATGGCAATGAGGTGCGAATCATAAAACACACGTCCTGTAATTTGTTTGTTTTTCCTATAAATTCTTCTTTCTTCAGACGATTCACAGAAAAACAGGAGATATAAAKGAGAGTTGGGTGAATGTTTCAACCACTGATTGTATTTTTTTATTACTCAAAGTACGACGAGCATCACCTTATGGGCTGCCGTTTGTAAAGTTACACAGTCAAAAATTGCCACCAGTATTTTTGTTTTATTTAGCCTTTTATAAGAAAAAAAAGAACAGATTTAT